ACAAACAATATTGCAAAATAAGCAAAATATTAAATTCAATTATGAGCCGAAATGCTAATTGGTCATTCCTATTTTACAGACTCTATGCTGTGACAGAAGTTGTCTGCAAATCGCACTGTGAATTCCATATTTACAGACATTTCTTCACAAGAAAGTGTCCTGATTCAATACAAAATGCATCCAAATTTACCTGCAAATTAAAAAAAAGAACATGCACTTTACATGTATAAAGGTTGTGTTATTTGTAGTGTACCTCCTGTTAACATTTTACAATCGTTTAGCTCATTGTTTTGGTTTTCATGGCTTTTCAACTTTTCTCACGATCAACTGTTTGAACTAAAAGCCTGACAACTCACTTAGCACCAGCATCTACTTTAGCAGCTAAAAGGGCTGCTGGTGTCAACCAAAGCAGAGCTGAAAGGAGAAAATGGTTACTTACAGAACGTACTTTGCTATACTTCTTTGGAGCACCATATAATGTGCTAAAAAGAGAAAAAAAAATTAATGGTTTATTTGAGTCACTCTTAAACCTAAAAGGTTCTTTGTGAAACTAAAAATATTTCTTCTACGGCATCACTGCAAGAGTCAATACTGGAGTTCAATTCATCAGAAATACACAGCCTCAAACCAGTGATAATATTGCCTGCTTGATGGCTAAATAAACTTTTTCTGACAATATATAAGTTGATCTGCCAGTTTCTGCTGCTGCCAAATGGCCAAACAAATCTGTTAATACAGATTTAATGGAAAAACATTCACCTCAATCGGCCAAGTTTGTATCAAAGTTCATCTCAGTTAAAACCACATCTTGCATCCCTGCCGTTGTACCTGCTCAGTTGTGTTTACTCAACGTCAGATTCTTTGCCAATACGTCTTTTATCTGCCAGGATTTTATCACAACTAACAACATAGATTTTTTAAAGCTTCTAACATACCAAAGCGGTGGATTAATCCTGTCAGATGTATCCTTTTCATTGAGCCTTTCCCCCTCTGATAGTTTATTTTTCCGCCAGTCCAGAGTGACAGTCCGGGGGGGGGGTGGCCTCACACTAAGACACAGAATTTGTCTTAATTGTTTCACAGTCACATTTGGCTGCCTTTCCACATTTGAAAGTCCTAGCTTTATTTTAACAAATAAACTCCCCATTTTATGCTCTTTGTTCTACCGACCCCCCTCAACTTACTCGTGGTTTTGTTCAGGAATGTCCAGATCTTTCAGCAGTCATCATGTTACATTATGACAGAGTGCTGATTTTATTATCCATGTTTGTTGCCCCACTTCCTCTGCATTTACATCTGATGTTATCAGAGTTTTAGATTCTTTTAATTTCAGCCAACGTGTGAAGCAGCCCACCTATGATAACAGGCACACACTGGACCTTCTGCTCTTTCATGGTTTCTCTGTGGAAGATGTGTGTCGATTTTGTCATCTCATCTCAGCGCGGTTTCTCTTCCAGGCTTCACTCCTCTTTCCTGACCCCGAACCCCCAAACACTGACTCACTCCCACCCTCTCGTCCTCACTTCTGTCAGGCTTTTACTGCCTCAAACACATCTTTTAACACCAGCGAACAACACCGTCACACCGTAGAGGAGCCTGTTAGTTTTTTGTAATTCTTCTTGCACAAACATGTTATATTCTTTAGCTCCAGTCGAATACAAAACACTAAAAGCGTCTGTTCTTTCACAGCTGAATGAAGAATTAAGAAGCTTACAGAGATGATGCAAGAAGGCCAAGTGGAGTTAAATGAATGAATGAATGAATGAATGAATGAATGAATGAATGAATGAATGAATGAAATATTTGTTTCGAACAAAAATAAAATTTAAAAACAAAATAAAAAACAAGGGAATAAAAAGCACAAACATGAGTTCAAAAAGGAACAGGAAGAAGTATAAACTTGTTAACTCCCAGCCCCTTATCACCCTATGATTCATTACAATATTACATGTTCCTATATATAATCAATGGATTTGACATAAAATATGCATCAATATATAATCAATTAATTGCACTGTTATAGAAATGTATATTAACAATATAAATATATTACAACAGTACACTACATAAATATATGTATAGGCCAACATACATACACATACATATTAATAAATAATGGATTTAATATAAGGGCTGCAGGGTGGCGCAGTGGTTAGCACTGTTGCCTCGCAGCAAGAAGGTTGCCGGTGCCCCGTGCAGCGTGGGTTCTCTCCGGGTTCTCCGGCTTCCTCCCACACAGTCCAAAAACATGTTGAGGTTAATTGGTGATTCTAAATTGTCCGTAGGTGTGAATGTGAGTGTGCTTGGTTGTCTGTCTCTAAGTGTAGCCCTGTGATAGACTGGTGACCTGTCCAGGGTGTCCCCTGCCTTCATCCTAAGTCAGCTGGGATAGGCTCCAGCTCCCCTGCGACCCTAATGAGGATTAAGCGGTGTATAGATAATGGATGGATGGATGGATTTAATATCCAATATTATATTATATACAACAATATTTTGTCACCCTCATTAGGATATATGTGATACCCCTACTAATTAATCATTAACAAATAACAGCTATGGAGGTATACTCCAACTATACATATATTTACAAGATTGATATTGTATATGATAAGTAATAACAGTGTTAATGCAACCTGTCTTCCTCCTTAAGAATTAGACAAAGACAAGTGTCTCGGTTATCTCTAAATAAAAGTGAATGTCTACTAATCAGTGCACTGATGAATGCCCTCTTCTCTGATCTTATTGCTAAAAATGCTCCCGATTCTGTGACTGATCTCCTATCCAGACAGGCAGTTCAAACCACCCCAGAGAAATGTGAGGAATTTAGTAGCTATATTTAAAATGAAATACTGTCAATCCGACAGCACTTTAACACTAATCTCAGTCAGCTTGATGTTGCCTTTCATCTGTCCTCATCGTTGAGACCCTTCAGTAAAATCTCTGTCTACTGGACACCGAATGTCCACAAAGTTCTTGCAGCTGAATGACTCCAAATCAAAGGTAAATAAACTAGCCTTGTAATGTGGCTCCAGCACTAGTATCATAAGTAATCTCTCCTCTAGTCTGGAAACCTTATCTAATAGTGTTCATAAAGAGGTCTAGGTGACTCCGATTTGTCCTTCCATGCTCAGGTGACTGAAGGAGCACAGCCCTCACTGAGACAGCTAAACAATATCAGGTCATTCCTTTCTTTTGCAGACTCACAGAAGGTCGTCCAAGCTTTTATCTGTTCCAGATTTGACTACTGCAGTGCACTTTACCCTGGTACAAGCAGGTGATCATCCAAAGCCTGCAGTTGATAAAAAAACAACACTGCTGCCAGGCTTTTAACACGTACTGAAAGATGCATTGCAACAATCTCTGATGCATTTTACTATCTGTGAGTTTTAGAATTGATTTTGAGATATTTTCTTTTTGCTTGTTTTTAAAGCTTTGGATGATCACACTCCTGCATCTTTCTGTGATCTGCTATAAAATCAGAAGCCTGATCACTGTTTGAGATCCTCTGGCAGGGTTTAACTCATGGTTCTTATTGCTGTTATGTGTAGTTATTGTAAAGCACTTTGCAGCTTTGTATTTGAAAGGTGCCCTCAGAAAAAAAAAAAAAAAGTCTCTCTGGTTCTTCAAAGCACTGCCATCTGTTAAAGAACCTCTTTATTTAGAGGGATGGTTCTTCATGTGCTTTTTGTAGTTCTTTAATGAACGCAGGGTTCATTTTGTTGTGTTGAGTTACTTTGGTTTTCCGCCCTATTACCAAAATAAAACCACAAAGAGCTATCTTGAAAATGATTACTTAAAGAACCTACTTTTGAAGAATTGAGGTTACTTAAAGAATCCTACTTTTTTTCTTGGATCCTGGAGAAACACTCTTTCATCTCGCCTGTGCTCATGTTGTTTGTACAGCAAATGACAATAAAAACTTGATTTGATTTGCTGAAGTTCTTTAGAGCACCATTTAATGTGCCTTTTTATAGTTCTTTGAGTCACCCTCAAACCTAAAAGGTTTTTTGTGGAGCTAAAAATGTTTCTTCAATGACAGCACTACGAATAACCATTTGTGGTTCCAGTTGGCATCTTCATTTTTCTGAGTGTGAATACATCTTATTGTTATTATTAATTCAACTCCGCTGCATTTATCTGATTTCCCCACAGTTACAGCTGAAGTGTCATTCAGTGTAATCAAAAGTCAGTGCTTTGTCGAAGACACTGAATAGATGAAGGAAAAAATAGATCAGACACATGTGACACTGACATCCAACAGCGCCTGTTATCTGTATATGGTGGGAAACTCCCTTCTGCTATCTTACAGATGATGCTGAGTTATCATTTTACTGTCCTAACCTGCCTCACCATCTGCTCTAAGACATCCAGCTGAAGCATCCTGGAACATATGCAGGGAGGGAGGGAAGGAGGAAGACTAAGGGAGGGAAATGTAAAGATGCAGAGTGGCCAGGAAGTGGCCCTATTGTTTTCAGGGTCACCTCGCTTTTCCTTTCAGAGCCACCAGAGGTCTATTCTCTCCGCTCCCGGCTGTACATCTCACATAAACAAAACTCCTTGCAAAGCGTGTCTTGTCAAATTTAATCTCTCATCAAATAGGGGCTGAGAAACAGGTTTATATTTCTCATTAACAACACAAGTGTGGCACCTGAGAAGCAAGTGAAAAACACCTACATAAAAAACACAAAATGAAAAGACACATTATGCACATATCAGACAAGAATATTTGATCATTCGGTGGAGCTGGAGCGACACTAACAGAACATGTATTTGCAAGAAAACAGGTTTGGCTGGTTGCACACAGGCAGTTATAATATAAAACATGACAAATTGCCCTCTTCCTGGTTTGGCACCGCTGAGTGACAACACTGAGTCCGACCAGGTCCGCTGTGTCATTGGATGGAGCAGAGCAGCAGGAGGCGGGAGGGAGCACACCTTAGTTACAAAGTTAACCATTAACTCGTCCTTCTGGGAAGCAGCAGCACAGCACACCTCGGTCAACCTTTGCACAACATTTCTCCATTTCATAGACAAAGCAAAGGAAAATGTGGTTAAGGCCAATGTGAAGCGTGCAAGCGGGCAGAAAGCAGGTGAACTCTTTGAAACCACCGGGACCCACACGGACAGGTGTGCAGGTAAGACTTCAGAGGAACAGCGGGGAGTTTGACAGAATCGTGATATTGTTTTAATGTTACTGAATAATGCACAAAAGTGGTGCAATGTGTTTGACAAGAAAGAAAGAGCTCCAATTCTCAGATATGCTTCAGTTTCTTTAAGGGGGGACAATCTGGAGGAGGCATTATTAGAAAAATCTACAAGATTGACCTACATCAGCACATTAATATAATTATCTCATAACAGAAATCACATGTTTTCTACATTGCAGCTCTTCAGTGTTGTAGCAGTTAAAGGCCGTTCTTTCTCAATGCAGGAAAGACATCTAAGCAAAGTGTTTACATTTCAGTGACCTGCCCTACAAAGACAAACTGCAGTAACTTCATAAGAGGGTCAAACATTAGCTGTAACTGCCATCTGACTTTCTGATTCTGTCTTGCAATATAGAAGAAATCCGTGCCACAGAATTGGATCATTAAATTTGCAGAACATGTAAAAACCAAAATGCAATATCTGGTGGTTTCTATAGACGACAGTGTAGCTGCTCAGGCTGCAGTCGCTGCACTCTGGCTCGCTGATCTGTGTGCTGTAGGACTCGTCAGCACTGTGTGCCACAGAATGACAGCGAACTACACAGCTGAAGTCAGACGGCTACAAGTGACAGCTAGACGCATGCAGAAAGAAAAAAGCTCCAGCTAACCGATTTCCCCGCATTCGTCTCTGTACATGACAAAGATCCATTTTCATGGAGTAAAATATTGTTTATTCAGTTTGTTGCTCCACATAATTAAATGAGCTACATTAGTTCACAATGGAGAAAAATAAACAATGAAATCCTGCATGAACTGCAAGTAGTAATCATAATTACAACAGTTTTTTTCTAAACCTACGAGTTTAAATGGGTCAGACAGCTGAGAGGTCACAGTTTGTTGGTCGATGCTGCAGGAGATTAACCAAAGAAGGTATGATATGCAAGTGTGGGCTATATGTCAATGATTTGTTTTGGTAAAATTATAACAGAAAAATATGCAATATTGCAACATTTTAACCTTTTTTTTAAAATCTCATTGTCGCTCCTTCTGTAATTACTGCTTTCTGTCTTTGTAGGTCAGTGTCGTCAAACCGTTTTCTGCCCCTGCTACAAACTTCAAAGCTATTTCTTAACATTTTAGGACAAATTGCCACAGTATTTATAATTATGTGATTTTCTATATACATATTTAGTCTAAAAGTAATCTCTGCCAATGACATGTGCTGACCCACGTGTTGGTCACCTGCTGTAATCAACTCCAACAATAGCACACAGCTAACAGCTTACTTGTATTACATTTGCCCGTCATTTTGTGCTTTATAAAGAGCATGCATTCAGATCTACAGTACTTATTTCTAATAGGAGCCAGGTGCTGAAACTCATTTTTCAATATCAAACATCACAGTTTGTGGTCAGGTTAAATAGAGTCTTTTCATTAGTCGTTACTGAGCTTGGCCTTCACTCATTGTGTTGTTGTGGCTCGTCTGTTGCTATTATTAAAGGGTTAGAAGGCAAAAGCCAAACGTGACACCTGAAGGCGCTACACTTAAGCTCGTGTGACCTTGCTTCAGTTAATCAACAAAAGCACAATGCGTTAAAGGTTTTTTAAGGGCGTAGTTTACTTACTAAAATACTTACAGTGTGCAAGTTCAATAATCACACACATAAACAATGTCTCTGCCAGCTTTTTTTTTTTTCTTTTTTCTCGCTGCTCAATCAGACCTTCTGCCTATTATACTTTATGAACAATAGCGTGGCCTGACTCCTCCACATATTTCAAAGCAAGACACAAATACAGAACTTGGCAGTGGGATAAGAGGGAAAGGGGAGGCTTGCATACTGTTGGGGTGAGGGTCAACAAAAGGACGGCTCACAATTATCTGAAGAGGATGATTATCCGTCATTATTGCAGCCAGGGAAGGAGAGAGATGCTCGCTTGGTCACGTATGATTTGTAGTTATATCATATAAAGCAAACTGTGGCGAGCCATCATGAAAATGCATTATGTTTTTATGCTTTATTTAAGCTCTTTGTTACATAAGCTGACAGAAGTTTAACATAAAATTCCGTCTCGCCTCCTGTGGCATAATCAAATTCGAAGCCATAAAACTGCTTACAGTTAATTTGTCTGTTCAAAGGAGTCTGATCGCACTCCATGAGCAGAATATAATTCTGATGTTTAATTCAGTTTGATGACAGAGAGAACACTTTACGCCCCCTGGCCATCATTAGTGTCTATAAACTGACACTCAACTCACAATTTGGGGCAATGAAACAAAGTATGACTAAGAAAAACTGACTTCTTGCTTTGAGAATGATGTTTAAACACAAATGAACGCAGACAAAGATGCAAATGTAGCCTTTCTCACATGCGTGTTCACATACAAACAGAGATGAAAGTACGGCAGCGGCGCACAGCAAAACTCACAAACATCTGACACACACATATTTCTGGCTCCAGTAGCTCCTGGTCTTGTGCTGCTCGGTGTGTATATTTTGCTGTGCTCTGCCTGTGTGAGGACAGAACAGGAAGAGATAAAGTCAGCCCGGTTGGTGTGTTTACAGCCAACACTGCTGAAGAGAATAGCTTGAGAAGATGAAGGGGAAGAGGCCTAATGGCTGGCGCTAAGCAGCTGGACCCCTCTTGCTGTGAAAAATCACCTCAGAGCCAAGGCAGCAAACAAGACAGAAATCTTTAGCATGCCCAAGAAAGTTAAAAACACATCTCGAGGAAAGAAAGAAACAATAAATTACTTGTGTATGTTGTCAATACAGAGGGGCCATTATTTCAGAAGTCAAACATAGTTGGTTTTCTTTTCGTTTAGGGATTTATTTGGCATGTTGTCCTACTGTAAGAGCCAAGGAAGTAATGAAAAACAGAATATTTGTTAAAACATGCAGAGACTTTCTAACAGAAGCTCTCTGCTCTTCCAATTAGTGGTAGTAGAAAAAGAAATGCTTTGTCAGGCCTACGCCTCCTTGACTTTCAGATCCAAATTCAGTAGGTAAAGGTGTTTCATTCTATTAGTGTGAATGAGAAGTATCAATCATCTGAGAAAAAAGCTTTGTGATTTACTTTGTGACTAACAGTCTCAACTGATCCAATGCTTCACTCTACTGATTCAAATTAGGGTCCATTTGTTGAGTGTAAGTTGTGCCAGTTGCTTGTATCTTGCATCCTTTACAACAAAAGAAAAAAAGTTAAATAAGATGAAAATAAAGCTGACTAAAACCTGACTTTACTACAGGTTACAGTCAGCATGTCTTTGTTTTTACTACATGAGTACACTGACTCATGTACTTACTTAAATAATTCCATTTATTGACAGTTCATACTTTTGCTTTACTGCATTTCAAAGGTGAATAATTTCATTCCATCACATTACATTACATCTGATAATGATAAAGTTTACATATAGAAAATCACCTATTCTTTAAAAAGAAATATATGAAAATATTTAGTGGAAGAGGCAGGTTAATAGAAAACAAAGAAACAAACTAATATGTTCTATTAAATCTTGACCTTAAGGTATCATATTATCAAAAATCCAGGTCAAGAACATAAAAATACCGGTGCTGGTCAGGCTCATTAAACATACCAGCCCAAAGCAGATGGCACCAATAATAACAGAATTTGTCTGACTGCATTTTCACAATGCTACTGTACGTACAGTGCCTGTAGAGCACCTAATACATGTAAATTCATGCATGCAAATACTCGACAAGTTTGCAAATAGCTGTATATAAAGGTCCTCTCTTCTACTAGCACAAGCTGCTGTGGATGACAGGTTTATATTTGCATTTAGAGGTTGCGATGTCAGTGCATACACAACATGACAAGTGAATGTGCAGCATGAGGTTCAGTGCAAACCTGGTGGTTTATAATAGACTGTCCAGCATGAAGTGCTTTAATGCGGACTCAACTCTCAATGTTTTACCATTTTGAAAAGGAATGAGGAATTTCAAACTGAATTCACCTTTTTATACCCAAATCTGAGCCACTGGGCTTCTCTGAGGAGTCACAAATTAATCAAATATAACATTCAACCACTAAAACTAGTTTTTCTGTTCAGGAATGCAAGTAAATCGCTACAATTTGATATCTTAATCAAGAAAAAAGACTGTGCTTTACTTTTTTTTCAGTTTTTTATAAAACAGTACATTTGAACATTCACAGATAACAATAATTATATTTTAGCATTAAAAATATCATTTTGGTTGAAGAGCTTCTACATACTGGTGTATTAACCATTACAAAAACTTTTTTTAAAAATGATTTTGGTTATTACCAATGCTGTTAATTTAGGGCAGCTGCAGCATTAACCTTACACTGGGTGGTAGTCGAATAAATTTGTTGAGCACTGTATGTTCTGTACATATGAGGCTACATCCTGCAGCTGATGAGCTGGGCTCAGGACAAAGTCAGGGGAAACAGCTATTTGACCGTGTCAGGGAGAAAACTCAATATAATGTAATATGTTTTTTGTTCATTCTATACAGTTTCAGTATGGATCAAACAAACAAGATCTAATAAAATGCTTTAAGTTGTGATCACTGCGGGTGCAAATAGAAGAAGTTTTGCAAACGTTTAACAGAGTGAGTCTGTTTCCAGGGCTTGTACAAAGCAACACAATGTAAGAAAGTCCCCAAAATGCTGAGCTTTTCCTTTAAAAACCTAATATTTGATTACATTTATCCATCTGTACTGCATTTATATGAAAGTCCACACACAAAAAAAAACCAAGTATGTATTTGGTATTCTAATCAAATAATGTCTGGCAAACTTTATTTTGTTGTCCTTCGAGAATTGCACAGTCTGCAGCTCGTCTGTTGCAGGAAGCTGTGAAACATACAGAGTTAGAGTCCTTCACACACTCGCCACCCACACAAATTAGTGACTTTGCCAGTGTTTTGTGTCAGCTAGGACTATGAAGGAAGGCTCTACAGTATGTGGGACTTCCTGTTTGCGACACACTTTTCCTGCTGCGGATGATATCCTCCTGAGCTCCTGACAGCTCCGACTCAATTATGACTTCTGGATTTCAAGGATCCAGGCAGCATCTCCTTTTTTTATGATGACACACTCACTCTTCATAGATACTAAGTGAAATATTTAGGTCATTTTATTGTTCACGTTCTTTCTGTGTGGCTCGGTTATGAAATATGCATTTAATGGCACAAAGGATTCAAAGCAACGAAGCACATGGGGTTTAGTGGCACTGTAGCTTAATAGTATTCTACTTCACTGAGGATGGTTTTTTTCTCCCGCCTTTTGCAAGATGTGTTTGCAGTCGTGTGTAAAATAGAGATTCTCACAGCTTACCTCTCCTTTCCACTTTCTCTAGAGCTTCACTTGAATGCAACAACAGGACTCCAGAGGGCTCATAGTTCAACGTATACATATGCTGCTAAAAGCTGCCTTCACCTTTCACTTGGTACTAAACTGAGGGGCCTCCTGTCACTCAACCTTGCCACCTAGTGGAGCTCTGAAGGCTCAACTCTCCTCTGGTCAACAGACGACTACCTCCCTCATCAGGGGAGATGCCTGCCCTGCAACATCTCATCCAGGTCCCATTAGACTTTCACCTGCTGGAGACATTCTAACACAAACCAGCGTTGTAGCCTTGTTGAAGAAATGGAAACCTCCAGCTTCAGTTGCTCAAGAGTCTGCTGGATCTTGTAGAATAAGAGCAACATATACTGTGTGTGAAATAATCCTGCATCCACTGGTTTCATGCTAGAGTTCATGATACTCCAAAGCAAGAGGCAGGTTTCATTTAAAAATACGCAAACTGAGCTACACACTAGAAGTCCTTCCCCAGTAGAGACTGCACAAACAGGAGCAAAGCCAGATGGAAGCATCAACAAACGAGACAGCTACACCAACGGCAGAAGCAAACAATGGTAAGTGTTCAGCAAAGTCAAATAAAAACTATCCATCAGCAGACAATGTTTTTCTATATTTGCTCAAACAAAATATTTGGTCCACCTGGTTAAACTCTGGTAAACTGAGTTCGGGCATTTAGGTGCTTTCCACAGTCTCGCTGCCTCAAAACCACAACAGACTGACGAGATGAGATGTTCAATTCTTCTCTCTTGCAGGCACTTCGACAGACAAATACACCAGCCACAACTGGGAGTTCTTGGTGGCCGTCCTGGTCACGGCCATCTCTGTGTCCCTCCTCACCGTCCTCCTGGCTAAATGTCAGGTGGTTCGGCGCTACTTGGCCAGCTACAGGCACACACGGCTCAGGGAGGCAGACACTGTCAGCCATCTTGACCCGTCAGGTTTGTTTTCTACACATGGCACTGCAGAGATACACTATGTATTGACAAAACAGTTTTTTGTGCAATGGGAAAAAATGTAGCTCAACCTGTTTGTATTAAGCTGAAAACATTGGTGTTGTACTGCCGATGTCCCTTAACGATTTATTAGTGAGGAATGTCTATCCAACAGCTAAAATCTCAACAGCTTTGTCCCATTGTTTACACAAGGTGTCTTTCACAGTGTAAATGTCAAGATATAGTCTACAGGTTACATATTAGAAGAAAAATCAAAATTACTTAGTAAGATGTTAGGCCTCCGAGACATTGGTTCTTCAAGCCTCTGGAACTCTCCTGGAGAGACGAACACAGTTCTTCCAAAACATATTGTGTGTTTTGATGGTGATGGTGGATGAGTGTGTTGGTTCCACATCTCCCATAGGTGTTCATCTGGGATGAGATCTGGTGTCTGTGAGGGTCATAGTGAATGATTTACACCATTTTCATACTCATCAAATCATTCAGTGACCCCTCACGCATTGTGGATGGAGGCATCCTGGAAGAGACCGCTACTTTTAGGATGGAAAGGTTTCATTATAGGTGATAAGTCAGAACAACTTTGTATTGATTTGCAGTGACTCTTTTCTCCAAGAGGGCAGGTGAACGCAAACCAGACCAGCAAACTGCCCCCACAGAGTAACACAGCCAGCAGATCTGATCACCGGGGTCTGGTTTTTCCTTTAATTTGTCACATGTCCATAATAGAATAACAACAACAACAACATAAAAACCTGTCCTTACTCCCATATTGTGCTTGATCCCTGTTTAAAGCTGCAGTAATCAATATTTTTACAACAACAAGGGATCAGATGACTATGCATATTGTGAATTATTTGAGTTATCACATGACCTCGTAGATACTGTCAGCTTTATAGCATTACATCCAGCCAAAGTAGGCAGTGGAGTTTTGCCCAAATAAACTTTTTGTACAATAACCTCCCCAGCACCAATCAGCAGACGGCCCAAAACAAACAAACTGTAAATGATTTAGCAGGTAAGAAACCAGTTTTCCTCAGGAGTTGATGGAGACCAACAGAGAGCAAAACAATGGATGAATGTTGGACTTATACCATCCAGAAGACAGAAAAACAGCTCATAATGAATGTCTATCACCTTGAGTGCCACGAACATCAAGAAAAAGATAAATGATCATGTTTGTTATGTCACATCCACATCTTTACACAATTAAAGAGAGAAATGCACACTGGAGCCTGAAAGTGAAAAAGACAAAAAAATGTTATCTTCAAAATCTTTCTTTCTTGTGCAGTGTGTATGTGTGGACTCTCTGCTTGTGAGCTGATAACACTACAATAATAAAAGCTCAAGAATATTAGTGTGAAATTGACTTCATAAATCACTGATGATGGAGAAGATGTACAAGGACATGGTGTGACACATTATAGCTTCCTCTGGTCTGTTTGTCACAAGCGTTTATACGTGTATACATAAAGAGAACTCTGTCAGACAAAATTATATGTTACCTTTTAATGATTGTTGGATTTTTTTTTTTTTGTTTTACCGCCTGCAGGCCTTGAGGTGGAATTCGCCATGCATCGGGGACGTGGAATGAACCCTGACTGCATCCCTCCTGTGAGCGAGGAGGATGATGACGGCTTCATTGAGGACAACTACATCCCAGCCAGCGAGAGAGCGAGAGCTGAGCGAGCGGCGGAGAACATAGACGAGGACACAGAGGAGGAGATGGATGAGATTGAATTTACCATCACTTAGTAGGAGCGTCTCTACACCCCCTCAACTCAATTTTTGTTGATCGAGTCAGAAAACCCCCTGAGCCACCAATTCCACTCCATTCTTTTCTTCGTGTTGAAAAATTCATGTTTTCTATCATAAAACGGACACTTCAAAAAAATTGGTTTAGTGTATAGGGGGAGGGGGGGGAGCACTGAAATGTGTAAATACATCTGCATTTTTACGGAAACATGAAATAACTATATTGCAAAGAGCATTATTGTGGCAGGAGTTCTCATTGTGGGATCTGAGGGCTCAACAATGTTCTACGTAATAGAGAATTTCAGCATATTCTCAGGAAAATGTACAGCTATGTGAAAAAATAAGTGGAAAAAGTTTTACATTTGGACAAGCAAACATTTGACTCTCTTTGATATAGTCTTAAAGAAGTATACTTGAACATACCTTTTTCAATCATTTATTCAACAAGAATATCAATAGAGGTAATATTCTCCTGGAAAAGTAAGTACAACCCTGGCATCAAACCTATTATGTCCCCCTTCAGCAGAAATAACTCCTTGTAGGCATTTTGCACATTCCCTCAACAGTCTCTGACATTTTTGATCTTTCCATGTAAAATTCCTTCACTTGCTATATGTTTGAAGGTTTTCTTACATGCATGTTTCAAATCCACCCCAACAACATTTCAATAGGTTTCCAATTGGGGCTTTGACTGGGTTGTTCCGTAACCTTCCATTTCTTCTTTCTGAGCTACTCTTTGGTGGATTTGCTGGTACGCTTAATCTGCTGAAAGGTGCACTTCTGGTTCAGCTCCAGCTTTCGGACAGGTGGGCTCACATTATTACGAAGCGCTCTTTGACACGATGTAGAATTCATAGTTGAATCAATTTGTGCAACCTGCCTCGGTCCTTGAAGCAGTGAAACATCCCTAAACCATCACATTTCACAGCTGGTGTGAGGCTCTTCTCCTGAGAGGCGGTCTTTGGTTTGCAACAAATGCGGCTACTGTTACTGTGACAACCACCTCTATCTTTGATTCTACATTATATATAACTACTCTTTGCCTGTATTAGCAAGATTTAAATTTGCTCAGTTTTTTTTGTTTGTTTGTTTGGACAACAAAAAGTTTTTGCATGTCTCCTGTGCGAGTCAGATTTTGAATACAGTTTCAATAGTTACCTGCAGATCCTGTGATGAAATTCTGGGGTTCTGCTTTTTGCATCATGTGGGCTGCTCTGGGGCTGAAGCACCCTTTATTAAAAGGGTGCCGCTTCAGAGTAGCAAGTGTTTGCTTGTTCAAATATGCTAAAAAAAAAAGTCAACAACTGCAATCGGATGTGCTTATGTTTTCATGTGATTGTATTTAAGTCATCTGCTTTACGACATGCTTAATGTGACAGTATAATGAAAATGTAAAATAGTTAGTGATGAGTCATAATCACACCAATCAGTTTTTTCAAGGGCATGAAAAGGGCATTAATGTGTCATTTGTAAATGTTACCACAGTGAAACACCAATTTGTGACTCTATTTGTGGTGACTGACAGACGGATCCGTTGATAGAACCTGCTTTTAAAAATATCTTCTTGTAGTGAACACGACTGCCTATATTTTTGTTCGAAGGTACCAACACGGATAAATGTGGATGTGTAATGCTATTCAGGACCAGTGGCGGCTGGTGAAAATTTTTGGTAGGACGGTGCAGTCTGCAAATGACCTTTTATTTAAAATCAGAAGTTAGAATATGAGAAACATCAGGCACAACTATTTACAGGAATGCAAACTGTCTACCTTTGGAGGATGTTGTAATCATAATCTAATTTAACATTATCAAGAATTACCAGAACTAAATTTCAAAACCATTCATCAACTTTCATCAATATTTACAGGATCTGTACAAACTCAAAACACACAACATAAAAAATGAGAAAAAAAAAAACAAAACACTATTCAGGGCTCCAAACTAACTCTTTCGCTGGTAGCACCAGTATCACCCACTTTCTCATTTTGTTGCACCTCCCACCTGGTCAAAGGCAAAACACATGACTTTGCGAAACATTTTCTTTTAGATAGATTCCACGATTTACTGATGCTCCCTGAACGCCCCACATAGCAGGCTGCGGTAGCTCCTGTTTGGTGGCTGTGGTGTGCTCTGACAGGTGTGTGGCCAAAAATGACTTTAAAAAATAATAAACTAGGGCGTTCTCAGGTCACATTTGTCCGACGTTAAACCCAGTTACATGTATTCTACACGCAGTCTTCTCTAAAAGCAGTCTTTTCTCCATTGGCAGCGTGGCCAGCTCATTAAGCTGTCAAAACAGTAGCTGTCTTCAAGTAGAAGAGGAGGGAAAGTTAGTGTGACGTGTCAGAAAGCACAGTCGTAAGAACGTCGAAGGACAGGTTTGATATCCAACCACAGAAGACAAAAGCAAATAAAGACAAAATTAATTGGCTTACAGCAAAAGTGGACGGGTCCCGGACGCACCGAGCTGCGCCCCGTGAAAAAGTCTGCAGCTGCCAATCAGAGTCCAGGCTGCGGTCACATGATCAGGAGAAGCTTTTCGAGCCACATACACACTCATGTTGGCCGTCGCCCGCATCCAGGAAGTGTAGAATTAGTAAACACACAGTGAAGACTAATATTAAATCTGTTAATAATGCAAATATTGGTGATATAGCAAAATAACATGAACGCTATTAGTAACTTTATTATCATTTTGTTATAATTAATTCAAATTTAATTTTACGTTTGAGAACTACTTTTTACCTGGTCATTGGGCGCCCCTTATTAACCAGCCGCCACTGTTCAGGACCAATCTGTGCTGCAATGTAAAGCCTGTATGACTCTTTGGTACTTTAACTAGCAGCAAAGGACATCTGTGATGTTCTCCAAAGTGATCTTCTTTGTATAATTTGATAGATTAATTATTTTACAACAGAAAAAAAGTCTATAAAGGTGAATTCAGTCTTTTTATTATTACTTGTGTTGTTACA